CTGTAGTCCCAGCTACTCGGGAGGCTGAGGCAAGAGAATGGCCTAAGCCCAGGAGTTGGAGGTTGCTGTGAGCTGTGTGACACCAGGGCACTCTACTGTGGGCGATAAAGTGAAACTCTGTGTCTACAAAAAAAAAAAAATTGCTCAGTCTGGTGGCCCCTCTGTCGAGTTCTCCCCAGAGAGTCAGATGGTGCTTACTAGCTGACAAAAGGCAATCAACAACAATGGGAGGTGCTCAGGGCTTCAGGGGCAGGCTTTGATTGGAAGATGGTCCTCATTCTTTCTCTGTCCCTTAAGTCCACAGTTGTGTGTCATAGCAGAGATGGAGGCTGACCTGTCTAGCTTTAACATTGATGCCCCCCGTTGGGACCAGTGCACTTTCCTGGGTCGAGTGAAACACTTCTTCAACATCACGGACCCCCGTACCGTGTTTGTAGCAGAACAGGAGCTGGACTGGGCCAAGGCAATGGTTGAGAAGAGCAGGTGAGTGGTTAAGAGAAGGGGCTGGAAACAGTAGGGTGATATCGATGGGGTTCTCAAGGGAGGAGATGGAAACTGAAAGTGAAGGAATGAGCAGAGATCTCAGAAGGAAGGAGAAATGACAGCAGGGAGGCTGGGAGGCATTAATCAGGCTGGGTGGTAACTGCCTGTTGTTCTTGGGCCACAGGATGGGAGTCGTGCCCCCAGGCACCCAAGTGGAACAGCTGCTATATGCCAAGAAGCTGTATGACTCAGCCTTCCACCCTGACACGGGGGAGAAGATGAATGTCATTGGGCGCATGTCCTTCCAGGTCCCTGGTGGCATGATCATCACAGGCTTCATGCTCCAGTTCTACAGGTGGGACCCAGCAGCAAGGCAGTGGGAGGTGCAGCTCCTGATCTGCTCTCGGGGAGATAATAATAGTCCTCTTTACTGATCAGTTACTAGGTACTGGACACTGTGCTAAGTTCTTTGCTTGTATTACCTCATTTAACCCTCTCAACAGCCCTGCACTTAGGTACCATTATTATTGTAACAGAAGAGAGGCTAAGCAGCTTATTCAAATTCACTCAGTCAGGAAATGTGGGTTCCTGGATTTTAACTGAGGCAGTCTTCTCTAGAACTCCAAACAAATAAGATACCTCTTTAAAAAGTATACCCACTCCACAATGAATTTAATTTATTTTTATAATATAACATCCAAATAAAAAAATAGGAGGACCCTTTTTCTCAGTTTGGAGATGATACACTTTGTAGTTGCTGGATGTGTGACTCTTTCTCCTCCTTTCCCTTCCTTCTTCCTCCTTCTCCCTGCCCCCTCCCGTCTGTGCATTCATTTGTTCAGCTATTGAGCTAGGCTTTGGGCCAGGTTTTGGGAATATAAAAACTTTAGTACTGCCCCTAAAAGAGTTCCTAGTTTTGTCCAGGAGACCAAGAAGTGTAAACAGTTACAATATAGCTTGGTAAGTGGTAGATTGGGGGAAGGACGCGTTTGTGGGAACAAGGATAATGGAAGGACTATGTTTCTTTTTTTTTGAGACAGAGCCTCAAGCTATTCCCCTGGGTAGAGTGCTGTGGCATCACAGCTCACAGCAACCTCCAACACCTGGGCTTAAGTGAGTCTCCTGTCTCCACCTCCCAAGTAACTGGGACCACAGGCACCTGCCACAACACCCAGCTATTTTTTGGTTGCAGCCATCATTGTTGTTTGGCACCTGGGCTGGATTCGAACCTGCCACCTTAGGTGTATGTGGCTGGCGCCTTAGCCACTTGAGCCACAGGCGCTGAGCCAAGGACTGTTTTTCAAGAGGGACTAGAGAAGGGTCAGGAAGTTTCCAAAGAGGAAGTGATCTCTCAATAGAGTAGGACTTGGCCTTGTATAGAAGGCAAGATGGGATATAGTCCAGGCAAGGGGCCAGCCTATGCAAAAGCCCCTGAACATAAAGCAGCCCTAAAACAGTTTACAGAACAGCAGATAATGTGTTTTCAATGGTGTACCCCAAGTACTCCCTTCTGTCCTCCTCCTCCTCTCTGCCTCTCCTGTTCTCTTTTATTGGTAGGACAATGCCAGCAGTGATCTTCTGGCAGTGGGTGAACCAGTCCTTCAATGCCTTAGTCAACTACACCAACAGGAATGCGGCCTCTCCCACATCACTCAGGTAGGAGACCTGGACCTGGGCTGTCTTCATACCTCCCCACGACCAACTCTTCTGTTTGCTCATTCATTCATTCATTCATTCTACAAATATATCTTTTTTTTTTTTTTTTTTGAGACAAAGTCTCAAGCTGTTGCCCTGGGTAGAGTGCCGTGGTGTCACAGCTTACCACAACTTCAAACTCTTGGGCTCAAGCAATTCTCCTGCCTCAGCCTCCCAAGTAGCTGGGACTACAGGCACTTGCCACAATGCCCAGCTATTTTTGTTGTTGTTGTTGTTGTTATAGTTGTCATTGTTGCTTAGCAGGCTCAGGCTGGATTTGAACCCTCAGCCTTAGTGTATGTGGCTGACATCCTAGCTGCTGAGCTACAGGCACAGAGCCTGTATCTTTATCGTATATCATGTGCTGGGGTGTGTGCATGGTTCTAGGAGCTGGGGATACTTTGTTGAGTAAGGCATGCATGGTCCCTCTTCTGGTGGAGTTTAAGGAGTGTTTTGTTTTCTTTTGTTTTGTTGAGACAGGGTCTTACTCTGTTGCCCAGGTTGGATTGCAGTGGCATCATCATAGCTCACAGTAATCTCAAACTCTGGGGCTGAAGCAATCTTCCTGCTTCAGCCTCCTGAGTAGGTGGGACTATAGGTGTGTGCCACCATGCCCAACTAATTTTTTCTATGTTTTGTAAAAATGGGGTTTCACCATATCACTCAGGCTAGTCTCAAACTCCTGGCCTAAAGTGATCCTCCTGCCCTGGCCTCCCAAAGTGTTGGGATTACAGGCATAAGATACCACCCTTGACCAGTTTAAGGTCTTTTAAGAGAACAAGCACAATAATCTTAAGTTGTGACTGCTGCCACTGAGGTCATATATAGGGTGACAAGACAGAGAATAGCAAGGGGTATCTGTGTAGGCCAGTCGGGGCCAGTAGAGATGATGTTTCACCTGAATTCTGAAGGATGAGGATTCAGCCATGCAGGAGCCCAGGGATGAATTCTTCTGTAGGGAGCAGCAGGAAGGAGTCTGCTGTATTACAAGTTCTTGAGAAAGGCCAACAGAGTTGGGACCCTGTGAGTGGCAGAGGAGAGAGGGTCACAAGATGAGGCTAGAGACAGACCATGTAAGGTTTTCAGACATGAAGTCACATCACAGACTTTTTCTCCATAGCCTTGCCTTCCACCAGCAGGGCTGCCCACTCCCAAGCATCTCTCTCCTCCACTAGGCAGATGGCCCTTTCCTACGTCACGGCCACAACCACTGCTGTGGCCACGGCTGTGGGCATGAACATGTTGACAAAGGTATGGTCTGGGGCTACTGTGGGCATGGTGGCCACTTGGGGGCAGCAGAGTCCTAGGGAAACATCTTTCCCCAGCCTGGGTGGGGGCCAGAGCCCAGCCCAGTAAAGAAGCAGGGCTGCCCTAGGTTGGTCTTTCTTGGGCCTTCGAGGGAGCATGGGGTTTCCACAGAGGGTGTCTGGCTATGTGGCAGTAGGTAGGTCTAACTTTTTTTCTTGTTTTGTAGTCCTTCAGTCCCCTCGACTTCCATCTTCTGTGAGTCTGAACAGCCCTCATTGTTCCCTTCCCCCCACAGAGAGCTCCACCCCTGGTGGGCCGCTGGGTGCCCTTTGCTGCTGTGGCTGCAGCTAACTGTGTCAACATCCCAATGATGCGACAGCAGTGAGTATAAGGAGGCTTTTTTTCTCCACAAACCACAAGGTTATCAGGGAAAGGGCAAGAAACCAAAGCTGAGGTGTGCAAGCCATTGATGGATCCCTGAGTCTTGGCTGCTCCTGTGGTGGTGACCATGAGAGTGGTGGGTGACAGGTTTAGTCAGTGTGTTGAGCCCTACTACTTTGAGCCATAGGTGCCGCCCTCAGTTTTTTTTGAGATAGAGCCTCAAGCTGTCACACTGGGTAGAGTGCTGTGGCATCTCAGCTCACAGCAACCTCCAACTCCTGGGCTCAAGCGAGTCTCCTGCCTCCACCTCCCAAGTAGATGGGACTACAGGCGCCCCCTATAACGCCCAGCTATTTTTTGGTTGCAGCTGTCATTGTTGTTTGGCGAGCCCAGGCTGGATTCGAACTCGCCAGCTCAGGTGTATGTGGCTGGTGCCTTAGCCACTTGAGCCACAGGCGCTGAGCCACGCCCTCAGTTTTTAATTCTTGACTAGAGAAAGCACAGATGTTCCTCTGTCTGGAGGTTTTTTTTGTTTGTTTGTTTTTGTTTTTGTTCTTTTTGAGATGGAGTCTCATTCTATTGTCCTGGGTAGAGTCCTGGTGTCATAGGTAATAGCAACCTCAAACTCTTGGGCTCAAGTGATCCTCTTGCCACAGCCTCCCAAGTAGCTGGGACTACAGCTGTCCAACATGATGCCCAGTTAGTTTTTCTATTTTTTTTTTTTTTTTAAGAGTCAGAGTCTTACTTTATTGCCCTTGGTAGAGTGCCGTGGCATCACAGCTCACAGCAATCTCCAACTCCTGGGCTTAGACGACTCCCTTGCCTCAGCCTCCTGAGTAGCTGGGACTGTAGGCGTCCCCCACAACGCCCAGCTATTTTTTTGTTGCAGTTTGGCAGGGGCCGGGTTCAAACCCGCCACCTTCAGTATATGGGGCCGACGCCCTATCCACTGAGCCACAGGTGCTGCCCCAGTTTTTCTATTTTTAGTAGAGGTGGGGGTCTTACTATTGCTCAGGCTGGTCTTGAACTCCTGAGCTCAGGGGGTACAGAGTGTTAGGATTATAGGTATGAGTCACCATACCTGGCCTGTTGTGAGGTTTTAATGATATCATATACATAAAGTACTCAAAACAGTGCCTGGTACATAATCAATGCTACATAAGTGTTGGCTGTTATTGCCTCCATTGTCATTGTCATCCATATTTACAAACACATTTTCTTGGGACTACCAGCAAAAGGAAACTTATCACAATACACTTTGTAGAAAGAGCACTGCTGGAGGCTTGGCACCTGAGGCTCAAGTGGTGCCAGCCACATACACCTAAGGTGGCGGGTTCGAATCCAGCCCAGGCCCGCCAAACAACAGTGATGGCTGCAACCAAAAAATAGCCAGGCGTTGTGGCAGGCGCCTGTGGTCTCAGCTACTTGGGAGGCAGAGGCAGGAG